AGAGAAGACAATAAAGTAAGAACAGTATAAAATTATAGAATAAGTAAACTACATTTCTATAATAATAAGAGAAAGTATAATTAGAATAAGATTTTAATTTAAAAGGAAAATACATTGGATAAACTTTGACTAATTATATTTATTTTTGAGCATTTTTAATGTGCATAATTTATAAATGGAGTATATTACATATTTATACATGTGGAAAATATATGTATATAATTTAGATTTATGTTTACTTGAAAACAATAGTATTTGAATGTTTTTGTTACAGATTCTCAGTAAAATTATCTCCTGAAACGTGATCTTTGAAGTAATAAAACTGGTTGAAGAGGTTAATAAAGGAGAGGAAAAAAAAATAGAACAGTCTGATATTCCAGTGTTTTATTATTCTTATCCACAGGTGAATCTTATTGGTGGTTTGGTTATATATTTATATATATGATTGTTATTACCAATAATGTTAGGTTTAGATGTCTTGCACTAATTTGTACATTTACATATAAACTTTTTCATATACAAAGGAAGTAAATATTTGTTTGTTTGTTTGTTTTGAATTTCGCGCAAAGCTACACGAGGGCTATCTGTACTAGCCGTCCCTAATTTAGCAGTGTAAGACTAAAGGGAAGGCAGCTAGTCATCACCACCCACCGCCAACTCTTGGGCTACTCTTTTACCAACGAATAGTGGGATTGACCGTCACATTATAACGCCCCCACGGCTGAAAGGGCGAGCATGTTTGGTGGGATGGGGATGCGAACCCGCAACCCGCAGATTGCGAGTCGAGCATCCTAACCACCTGGCCATGCCGGGCCCCATGTTATTATCCACAAAATTAAGAAAATTTAAGTTTTATAAGGTATGATGATAATTTTTTAGGAAAGCATGAAAATAATTTTGGCAGAATAGATTATGGGATTAAAAGAGTTTATCATGTTAAAAGCAAAAAATATCAGTTAAACATGAAGACAGCCTGCAGTAAACAGTGAAAAGCTTGTTAAGGAACCTGGTGTATTTTATAACCCATATAAATAGTGTCATAGATTACCTTTTCAAAAATGTTTTTTGATTTGTCATTTTGTTGTAAAATTATGTGTATTATAGTTGTGTTTTTTGAAATAATCATCATTCTTTTCACTGTTCTTTTATTATAATTTTGTATTGTTGTGAGACGGTAATTTATCAGCAAAATAAAGCTTAAATGAACATAAAAGTCTAAACATAAGTGAAACCTTAAGTTTTGCGAGTTCAACTTACTAGCAAAGCAGTGGTTGCTATTCTGAGACAACCTTCAATTTTCTTAGATTGTACATAAGGATGAAGCAGAAAGTAAATCACTCAACATTTATATGTGCAAATAATTAGTGATAATTGGATTAATAAGTGAAAAATTTAGACTTTTGAAAACTTCTTTTCTGCCAAAATGTAAAATTTTTTTATTGTTTTGTAATTGGTATTTATTGACTGCTTTAAAGTATTTTTTTACAAATTAGCAAAGTAACTTACATTTTTCCTTTCAGTAATCGTAGTCGGAGAAGCTTTAATAAAGGAGATTCAAAGTGAGTATTATAAGTAAACTTAAATATTTACTTTTTGGATTAGTTTTCAACCAAAGAGACAAAAGTTTTATCAGATGCTGTCACCATCCGATGGGTAAATCAGGATTTTCAGCCAGACACTGGCAGCATCCACTCGAGTTTAAGGAGTTAAGAAATACGCCCACTGTCTAACATGAAATATGTCTGTTAAAAGCAAAATGACATGGTTCCCATATCTTGGGTAGAATGAAATTCCCTGGCTTTTCCCTGACCAGTTAATATGTAGTTGTAATGTATCACCGAACTATTACTATAATAGAATGTGAAATTGCAAAACGTTATTCATATATTGTTTAATAAGACAGGATGTATGCTAACAGTCACAATTGGCTTAAATATCATTTTTGCAATGCGTCAATATGATTGGTCACACTGTTCTCAAATTATTGATACTTTATTAGAATATACCTAACAAAGGCAGTTTATCCATTTGCTTATGGTAGTACATACCAATCACAGTTTTTAATTTAAATTCAAATCATAAAAATGTTATAACACCATAAGTAACACTATAGATTTTAAAAATTGTGATTACTACATTTCCTTAATACATGAAAGGAACATGTTCACTGTTATAAAATGGAATATTAATATTTTTAACAAGTACACTTCTTATAGGTCAAATATGTATTAAAGCAATATTTTCTTATGTGTGTACATGCACAGAAATGTAAAAAAACTTTCATTTGTTTAATATTCACTGCTCATATTTCTGATATCTATAACATAATTGCACATGTTAATGAAATCATCCAGACCACACTGTTATTTGCACATGTGATTTGAAATTTTGCATATCAAGTTCATATCAAAAGTACTGAATTCATTCAATTAATGTGCCATATATTTATTGATCAATCATGTTACTGAAATTATTTTTATGTTTATGCAAGCTTTGTTCATCCACGAGATCACCAGATTATATTTAAAAATAACTAAGTTGTAAATTCTAATTATACATACCAGGACACTTCTTATATATGGTATCAAATCTGCTGATAAAACATCCACAACATTTATAGTTGCATTATTCCAAAGCCAACATGATGTAAAGATACTCACAGAGGTTATGGTAAGTGGCACAGGAACAAATGTTGCTGTATGGCATTAATATCGTACTACAGTACAACACCATTTAATTTCAGTTTTTGATCTTATATAATATTGCTTATTACATTAAATTAAAACCGCTACTAAGTAAAACTTTTACTAAAAGTACTTACATTATATTTTCTATCTGAGGGTACCCATTAAGAAAGCAAAAATTATAAAAGATAATGTTCCTCTGCTTTCTTTCCTTTGTTATTAAATCCCGATTAGCATTATCAGATGCTAATTGCATACCCTGCTTTATGGAAGATAATAGTTATCTCGTTCATCTGATTAAGTATTTGTCTTTAAATTCAAAGTCAAAAGTCTATAAAAAAAAAGTGTAAATGTGCCCTATTTCAGGGCTGTTTTTGATTACTTTTTCTCAGTAAAAACCCTATAACAAAATAGCCAATGTACACCATTGGACAGTTTCCAGTTACCATATCAAAAATTACTGTAATCAAGCCAGTCAACTCTGGGTGGTGGATGTTAACACACACGTAATGGATCATCTTTATAGTAATATTCTAGCATGGCCTGTGGAATTTGAGATAATAAAAAACACTAACACATTACTTGTATGTACTCCAACATGCTGGCACCACACAATCTCCACAGTAATTAATATCTCAATTTCAAGAACATACTATAATCTCAAAGTCCATATTTCAAAACAATACCAAAGCCTTTAATGCAATTCTCTATCAAGCTGTGCAAACTCATCTTTCCCTCTAGTCTTTATTCTTTCCTGTCATGTTTATTGTTTCATAAACACAGGGCTACCAACTTTTAAGAATCTGATGGATTGAGACTTTTGAAAAAGTAAAAATGTGAGCACTGGAGATAGTTGCCTTCTAAGGGAGGTCTGGGAGCATGTTCCCCCATAAAATGTTTTATTCAATGGTGCAAAATGATGCAATCTAGTGCATTCTTAAACCAATGTGATGCTAAATTTGACCTGGATCAAGCTAGTCACCAGCCACAACATGTTGCAGAAAGCTACTAATTTGACTAAAATGTGAGACTTTTTTATTAACACATGTGAGCATGAGAATAGACCCAAATGCATGAAGTTCATGCTCAATGGGTGACTGTTGGTAGCTCCGTAAACATAAATTTTCTCAAGATATTACTCAGGTATGTGATGCATTAACTTATAGATTAATAGTTAAACAGGACATATTCACCAGTGCATGTTCAACTGTTTCTACAAATATTCATAAATAAAAGATAATACCATATTCTGAGAAATCCTTACATGTGTCATATTATTAGTTATTGTCAAAGAAACATTCAATATTTCAATATCTTTATAATTAAGTTTTTTCCAAAAGTTGATGTCATCTCCAAATTACTGACATTATGCACTGCCATCTATATTCTACTTTATAAGAGCTTTCTTTAACTGTCACTGGTGATACTCTACCCGTCTCCTGGAAGTACCACCTATCAATGACCCTAGCCCAAGCTGTACTACGCATCATGACGTTTTGTGCAATATCTTATATATATTTTTATATATTTATTTTATTTATTTTTGATATTTTTCCTTTTTGATATCTTTCAAATCTTTCCAATGCAGATATGTCAATGACATAACGTGTGTTCCTTCAATGACTACTGTTTTGGAGACTCTTTTGTTAAAGCACTAAAACTTGTAAGATCAAAACAAGTTATCTAACATAAATAGCTTATTTCTAAGTAGTATTTGTTAAGGGGTCTTACACTGTGGTAAAATAATCCTCCATGGCTTAGCTTTTGGAAGTGTTTTCTAGAGTCCTTACACTGTTTTAGGCAGGCCAGAACCTAGCTACTATTTACCTAATCTTTACTTAATCTACTGACAATTAATGGCAAGCAAAAAGATCAATGTAGATAAAACCTTTATGCATAAAATACATTTACTGACATGTTAAATGGTTCAGAATTAACCTTCATGTGATTTTTTGGGGCACATGGTAGTTTATTTTTGTCACCATCTATGTCATTGAAGAATCATTGAATTATATGCAATTCCCCAACTTTTGCAATTCTTGTCTGCAAAATGTTTCCTGGGCCAGGAACACTAAATATAAAATTCATTGACTTGCTGGTTTCCCCAACCTGTGGGAACCACATTATAAACGTAACTCATGTATGGCACAGTATGTTCCTTATTTGTGTTCAAATTTAAAATAGTTAATTACACCTAAAGACGGTTGTGATACAACAGATATTTTTTATGAAAAACCATTAACAAGAACTGACCTGATGTATTTCACTTTATGAAATAAAGGTTGTAACAAAACAATAGCTACATAAAACTCTCACCTGTGAACTATGGCTGTCTGTTTAGAAATGTGATGTTTGGCAGCTTCATCCATACAGCTTGCTATTGGCTGCACTCTCTTTAGGTCTACAATGTACACTGATACGCTAGTAAGTGAAATAGTTCCTGCAATCTAAAAACAGAGCAACATATATTTACTTATTCCGTAACTTAATTATTTGTGAAAAGTTAACTTTTGGGAAATGAAAAACAATCTTGTTTCAAAATATTTTTAAGATCTTTTATATTTTTAAATCTCATCTTTAAAATTGTCAAGACTTTGGATAAGTTTTAGCTGATTCAATACATATTAATACCTTAAAAGATATAGCAGTGGCCACAAGTTTGCAATCAAAATTAGGTGCATTCTCAGAAAGCTAAACTAGTCATTTTCATTTACAACAAAGAAAACAAAATACTCTTTTAAGAAGGAAATAAACAGAATAATCTTTTTAAACTTACGCAAGTATTTTTATGAGTTCATACATTTGAAAGGGAATCTGAATATTTCTCAAAAAATTAAAGAATTTCAGCTTTGTACAACATAAGAAGTCCTATACTAAGAAACATCATTTCTTTTAATACAGTATGCATACCTTCACAAAATTTTTCATATTATCAGTAAACATTACAAGGCTTTAGTACATAAAATTAGATTTTTTTATAAGTTTTAAGATATTTTATGTAATGATTTGCTTGTGCATTTTTTATTTTTTAATGTTGACTATCCAACATGTAAAGTAATTTTGATTTTAAGAGTAAAAATACTTTTAAGCATCAGAAAATTGTCAAATTTTACATGCAAAATCTTTATAACCTCCTAAAAAACTCCAGGTAATTATCAAACGTTTTTTTTAAAAAAAAACTTTATATTTTGTCTGTTATTTTCACTCTTGTATCTGTGTATGGGTTTGGTCAATTTGACCTACCTCATAACCAACATAAAAAATTAGGAAATAGATATAAATCACGCTTTTTTCGTTATAGAATGACTATAAATTATAAGAAGAAACCACAAATGTTTAGTCTAAATGGCTTAAATCTCATAACATTGTACATCAATATATATTTATTATTTTTATTTTATTGGCCTTTCAGCAGTGTCTAACTAACATTACAAAAGTTGCAAAGACACGGTGCATGTGCACTCATGTTACTGTATCCAATAGTATAAAACTGGCCTTTACAAAGTGAGCTATCTTCAGTTTCTTCTAGTGAACCAGTATTTTGTAAAATACAGTCAGATTTGGTTATAACACATTACATATGTATATATATTATTATTACTATTTACAAACAAGTTCTTATGTTTCAGTTGTTTTTCTTAAAACATAGAACAGTAAATAAAGAAATATAGAAAACAATGATTTTTTCTACATAAAAACTTTGCAATCATTTGCCCACTTGACATAATTTGCTAAGCCTTGCCAAACTTCGCATGTGGAGGATTTAAAACAAAATAATTTTTTAGGATTTATATATGCATTTTGAAATAATCAAACATTATAAATTACTCTATCAATATTGCAGAATTCCACTGTAATTTATCAGGCTTACTAACTAAACTGTACTTGGGTAAAAAACAGTTTTTCGGACAACATTTTCACTTGTATCTTCCGAGAATCGAGACAAAGAAATAATCTTGGGAACTCTCCACCTTCTATAGGCTAAGAAAACCATGTGGGGGACATTCTGAGCTTACAATTTGTTATTCACACATCA